ATTACAGACAGAAGATTTTCGTAATTATTTTGAAGAGATGGCTTAGGATTGGAATATTTTCGATAGGAAATTTCAACATTACAGTCATTCAAGATATATTTTTAGAGAGCTTTTAATTTTACAGAGACATACTCGTTTTTATATTTCGATAGTACAGTTGTGAGCTTTGAAGTGAGCTTTTCAGTTTAGAATTTACAGACAGAAGATTTTCAAATATTTTTGAGAGATGGCTTAGAATTGGGGTGTTTTCGATAGGAAATTTCAACATTACAGTCATTCAAGATATATTTTTAGAGAGCTTTTAATTTTACAGAGACATACTCGTTTTTATATTTCGATAGTACAGTTGTGAGCTTTGAAGTGAGCTTTTCAGTTTAGATATTACAGACAGAAGATTTTCAATTATTTTCAAGAGATGGCTTAGAATTGGGGTGTTTTCGATAGGAAATTTCAACATTACAGTCATTCAAGATATATTTTTAGAGAGCTTTTAATTTTACAGAGACATACTCGTTTTTATATTTCGATAGTACAGTTGTGAGCTTTGAAGTGAGCTTTTCAGTTTAGAATTTACAGACAGAAGATTTTCAATCATTTTTGAGAGATGGCTTAGAATTGGGGTGTTTTCGATAGGAAATTTCAACATTACAGTCATTCAAGATATATTTTTAGAGAGCTTTTAATTTTACAGAGACATACTCGTTTTTATATTTCGATAGTACAGTTGTGAGCTTTGAAGTGAGCTTTTCAGTTTAGATATTACAGACAGAAGATTTTCAATTATTTTCAAGAGATGGCTTAGGATTGGAATATTTTCGATAGGAAATTTCAACATTACAGTTATTCAAGATATATTTTTAGAGAGCTTTTAATTTTACAGAGACATACTCGTTTTTATATTTCGATAGTACAGTTGTGAGCTTTGAAGTGAGCTTTTCAGTTTAGAATTTACAGACAGAAGATTTTCAATCATTTTTGAGAGATGGCTTAGAATTGGGGTGTTTTCGATAGGAAATTTCAACATTACAGTCATTCAAGATATATTTTTAGAGAGCTTTTAATTTTACAGAGACATACTCGTTTTTATATTTCGATAGTACAGTTGTGAGCTTTGAAGTGAGCTTTTCAGTTTAGAATTTACACACAGAAGATTTTCAAATATTTTTGAGAGATGGCTTAGAATTGGGGTGTTTTCGATAGGAAATTTCAACCTTACAGTCATTCAAGATATATTTTTAGAGAGCTTTTAATTTTACAGAGACATACTCGTTTTTATATTTCGATAGTACAGTTGTGAGCTTTGAAGTGAGCTTTTCAGTTTAGAATTTACAGACAGAAGGTTTTCGTATATTTTGAAGAGATGGCTTAGGATTGGAATATTTTCGATAGGAAATTTCAACATTACAGTCATTCAAGATATATTTTTAGAGAGTGATATGCTTTTAATTTGACAGAGACATACTCGTTTTTATATTTCAATAGTACAGTTGTGAGCTTTAAAGTGAGCATTTCAGTTTAGAATTTACAGACAGAAGATTTTCAAATATTTTTGAGAGATGGCTTAGGATTGGGGCGTTTTCGATAGGAAATTTCAACATTACAGTCATTCAAGATATATTTTTAGAGAGCTTTTAATTTTACAGAGACATACTCGTTTTTATGTTTCGATAGTACAGTTGTGAGCTTTGAAGTGAGCTTTTCAGTTTAGAATTCCCGGACAGAAGATATATATTTTTTACAATTATTTCAAGAGCTTGTTTTGGTTTTGGAGTCAAATATAAACTGGTGTCTATAATTCGAAATAAGTTTCGAATTCCGCTTTAATTCTGCTAAAACTTATGATAATGAGTTAAGACAAACTCCACATTTTCAATCTAAAAATCTGTAGATTGGTTTGGTTTAGTTATGGAAAAAGCAATCACAATCCTCAAAACCTGGAATATTTAGAAGTTACCTGATAATTTAGCAAAAAGAAGATGCTAGGCATAACCTCAAATTTGACGCAACAAAAGTAGAATCCATCCGAATTGATTTTTCAAAACCTATTAAATTTTGAAGAAATACAAAACTTTCAAACAAAACAAATTTTAATTCAATATTTTCATATTTAGTTTCAAGAAATGATAAGATTTATAACGCAGATTTATATACTCATGATGTTTTTCAACAAAGTCCAAACGAGTTTCTGATTTTTTGGCTGCCCCTTTTGAGTGATTCTTGAGTGAGTGGTTCATAGATTTTGGGTAATTTGGAGGCTTTTGGTACAATTGGATGATTTGCGGATGGATTCATTTGGCGCATTTTTGATGAACAGAGAGTCAGTCAGTCAGGACAAGCATTTTTCAACAATTCAATCTTTGTTTCAGTCCTATTTTGACTAGGCTTTTTCTTTTTCCTACTTTTGCAGACACCTGAAACCTGTGAGTCTAGATAAAAGTTTTGGAGAAATTTAATAAAAACTATGTACCTTAAAAATAACGGATTGTCCTCCAACGTAACACACGAGAGTAGAGTTTTTAACAAACTTTTTAGGGTGGATAGGAAGATCTTGATTTCATGATCGCGCTTATGGAAACTTCTCACCAAATATCACAAATGTGTTTGACGGGCGAAGACGTGACGAACAGCATTTCGGCGTAGAAAATACTAGAAAATTGATTGAAAAATGTCGCTCTCTGCCGACTATTTATACCCCACTTGTCCTCCGCCCATCTTCGATTGGTTAGACACTGCATGACTTGAAGAGGATTAAAGAAAGCGATGCGGTCGCGTTGCAGTTGCGTCGCGGTTGCGACCGGTTCTATGACGAGTTTTGTTGATTGTTGAGAAGATGGAAAGAAATGAAAAGAGGAAGAAAAAGAAGGCATTTGAAGAAAACATTTTATGAATAATTGGTATTGTGAAAAGGATATTGGGGGGCAGATGTTCCGAATAAATTGATGAATGTTATGAAATTGAGGTTATTTCGAGAGCAAGATGTACTTCACTTTTGATTTTGATGACTAATCGACTGGTAAAATATTTCATAATAAAATATTCTGAAATGTTCTAGAATCTTAATGTTTTTGATATAGCATTTGGTGATTTTTGATAACATCGTTTCAACGAATATTTCACAACAACATGTTTTCATTTTGTTAATGTGGATGAGAATATATTCAAGAAAAAAACGTGTTTTCCCTTCAAAATTAAACATTTATCAATAGGTAAAGTCCAATCCTTTGCTGTTTACTCAAATATTTTGAATTTTGTTCTCCCAAAAATATATGTATAAAAACTAAGATTATGAAATTTCTTCTAAAACATTGCGAAATAATTGAGAATTTCGTAATTATTGCGAAATATTTTTTTCAGAAGTGATTTCATAATACGTTCTTTGGCGGAAACTTTTGGAAAAGGGGCTTTTTTCCGAAGAGAAACTGATTTGAACCGGTTTTCTTTTTCCTCCTACAAATTAATGATCGAAATTACGATAACTTTGACTGATTTAGAATAAAGATATGTATATTGTCTCCGGGATAATTATTTTCGAAATATTTTCGAAACAAAATGTTTTATAAAACTTGGTAAAGAACTGTAGATAAAAACATCAAACTTTTCCCATTTTTTTTCGAAATTGTCTCATGTTTGTTCAATGCGTTGGCATGACACATTCCTGTTTCGAAATATAACGAAAAGAAATTTTATTTGTTGAAATGAAAAAAATGAAATAAAAACATAGGAGATGGAAAGTCGTGAACAATACAATATTATTTCGGTACATAGCATAAAAGATTTTTTTTGTTAAAATAAATTTCAGAAAAAATAAAAGTTTAAACATGTTTCTCATTCTTTTTCATAAATCTAGTCAAACTTCAAAAAAAATTGATTCCAGAAAGTTATAACAATAAAGAATAACTGAATTCTTTCCTAAAAATATACTTTTTTAATGAATACTAGTATCAGAAAATCCTCATCAAAACACAAAAATTGAAAAAAAAAGTACATCTCTTTCGACACAGAAAAAGTACATGCTCAGGAAAAAAGACGGCAAAGATCTGCTGAAAAGTGTCGCCAATTGTTTTAAAATCTGCGACACAGTCTTTCCGAAAACTCTAAATTTGAGAAAACGTTCGGAACTCATTAGCAGATTCGCGGCTGCGGTCAAAAAATTAGCGCACTTTTTTGCGACACGTTAGCGCAGATCTGCCAAAAAGTGCTGCAGATCTGCGCCAACGTGTCGCGAATTCAGCGAATATCTGCTCGAGTGTCTTCTAATTACGAAATTTTTAAACCACTCCAAATTTTCCAGGCTTCTTATGTTGTATGAAATATCCAAAATCATATGTAATATTTCCATGTTAAAAACTCACTAAAGTTCAATTTAGGTTCATTTTTCTTTGTGAAACACTTCTTTTTTTATTTCAGAAAACTGAGATTGTGATAACTAATTTCATAATTCTATTAAAAAATTTTCCAACTATCAAATAGTGCCAAGTATGCACAACTGTGATCAATATTATTTGCAACACCCGATTATTGTGTACTGTACGCAACTCTCAAGGTCATATCACTCGAGTGCATCAATTTATTATTCAAAATATCATTCATCGTCACTAACAATAAATTGACTGTTTTTTACATATGAATCTAAAAAGTATTCAATTTGCGCAAAGTTTTGAAAGACTGGCGCATTTTTTGCAGTTTGTTCCTTCTAGAACAGTTTTTTAACTGTAAAATGATAACTATACGATTTTTTCGATAACTATTATATGGAAAACCTTTTGTAAACATTCGAAATTTCGAATCTATTGTAAATTCTTTGTTTTTCTCAAAAGTTTTAGTTTTCTTATGAAAAGAAAAGAAAGTTGTTCACAGGGACGTATAAATAAGGGAGGCAAGCGCGCTCCATCGAACAAACACTGTTAGTTATATTCAACTTTACTCTTACGTGTTTAGTTTTCCTTGTACTTTTTTTCGCTTTTTCTTATTTTTTTTCATTCTTCTTGTATTTTTCAGCTATGCCGGACGAAGTTGCAGCACCGGCTGCTGCTGAAAACGCGGGTCAACAACAAGAACAGGTAACTTTATGAAAATGTATGTATTACTCTTTAACGAAATGTAATTTTTAGGGAGGATGGATGAATATTGTTAAATCAATGGCCAAACAAATGCTCATGTTCTACTTGATAAGTTCAGTAATGAAAAGTTTTGGAGGTGGCGGTGGGGGAGGAAACACCAATTCGACTGGTGTAACTTCGCAAGCCAATGTTCAAAAAGGACCACCGGCTAGAAATATGTTTTCGCCTGGACAAATTTTCGATATGTATGTGTATTTGGATGATTCGGAAGAGCATTTTAATAATTTCGAAAATGGAAATCTGTTTTGGTTAAAGAAAGGGTTGAGATATGGTGATTGGACCGGAGGACCTGAAAATGTTAGTTTTTCAATTTTTTTTTACTATTAGCTTACTTTTAACGAACTAATTTAGGATGGCTCATATTCAATTCACAAAACTATGGATACACCGGAAGTTTTAACTAGAAATCAATCATTGTATATGCATACTTTTATTGTGAAAATGGGTCAATCACCAAATCCAAAAGATCGAAACCACGTGAAAAGAGAGGTTATCTATGGAGTTAAACAATTGAATAAATATAAGAAAAAGTATTATAAGAAGACTTCGAATTTATTGACTGGACTCAGTGAGCAAAGTGATGAAGATCTTGCCAAGGCTGAAATTATGAAATTTGAAATTCTCAACTTCTGGCATCCAAATATCTCGATTAATATTGTTGATGATCAAACTCAATGGCAACGCGGAGCTCTTCCTCCACCATTGGATAAAGATGTGAAATTCAGTCCAGGTGGAGAATCTTACAAACCAATTTTATTCTTTAATAATTATTGGAACTTGGGTGCTGATTATATGCCAATTAATGAGACTGTTAAACAAATCAATTTGACTGTCACATTCTACCCATTGTCACTTTTCAAATATCAAATGTATGCCAGTCAAAACGTAAGTTGATGAAACAAGTATCTTTTTTTCAAATGTATATGAATCTATTTGCAGATGAGATCTCAATGGAGCGGAATGCTTCAAATGGAGCAAGAAGATGATGATCAAGATTCGGTGAAACAGGCATTGTTAGAAACAAACCCAATTTTGCTTGGAATCACTGTTGTTGTATCAATTTTGCATACTATTCTCGAATTTTTGGCATTCAAAAATGATATTCAATTCTGGAGAAGTCGCAAAGATCTTGTAGGATTGTCGGTCAGAAGTGTGCTCTTCAATATTTTCCAATCGCTTATTGTTTTCCTATATATTTGCGACAACGACACCAATTTTGTTGTGAAAATGAGTGTTGGAGTTGGTTTGCTCATTGAAGGCTGGAAAATTCCAAAAGTTCTCAACGTTGCAATCGACTATGAAAACAAGATTCTTGGCATCTTCCCTCGACCAGTTTTCAGCGATAAAGGATCGTATGTTGAAAGTGACACAAAAACATATGATCAAATGGCATTCCGTTATCTTTCATGGGTTTTGTTCCCACTTCTTGTTGGATATGCTATTTATTCAGTTATTTATGTTGAACAAAAAGGATGGTATTCATGGGTATTAAATATGTTATATGGGTATTTGTTGATGTTTGGTTTTATCACTATGACACCACAGGTAAGATTTTGAATATTGAAAGTATGGCTGGGAATTTGGAGAAAAAATTTGAAGAATCAAAATAAAGCTACTGAATATTTTGATAAGTTTATAATTAATAAATTGTAAATTGACCATGGGCCAGTTTAAATTTTTAAAATATTATTTTTCAGCTATTTATCAATTATAAACTCAAATCAGTTGCCCATTTACCTTGGCGTATGCTTACTTATAAATTTATCAACACATTCATTGATGATCTCTTCGCATTTGTTATCAAAATGCCAATGTTATACCGTATTGGTTGCTTCAGAGATGATATTATCTTCCTGGTGAGTTTTTCCAAAGTTCAAAATTTTAAAAAATATATAAGAAATTGTTTTTTTAGATCTACCTCTACCAAAGATGGATTTACCGTGTTGATCCAACTCGAATGAATGAGTATGGAACATCACTTGAACATGAGAATGGAGTTCCACCGCCAGCTGATGAAGGACAATCAGCAATTGAAAACAAACCAGAAGAAACTAAAACTGAAACGAAAAAAGACAAGTAAAAAACAGAAATCTCGACAATGCATCATGATCTTTTTGTTATTTCCAGATTCTTATTTATCTGTGATTTTAAAAGGGATTTTCCCATGTGTTTTATTATTTATTCTTTTGATGTTGTGAAGTTTATATATGAATTATTTGTTTTAGAGAGTGCAAAAAGCTTGATTCGTCACTTGAGATCCACATAAATCTAATTAAAGAAAAGAAGACAGAAATAATGAAGTAATATATGCTTGTTTCCCTTCTCCTCCCGAAAAAATATAAGTGTCTGAGGGTATATGTACATCTACATAATTTCGAACAAAAAAACGCGAGTTGGGTGGAAGAAGCCAATTTCGTCGTCACTTTTACAGTAACTGGCTTTTGGCCGCCAGCCGATTCTTACGTAATATGGAAATGAAAAGAAAGAATTATTATTATTAGTTGCAGTAGTTATATATGTGTATAATATTCAAATACACTTATTTGTAATTATTGTTCCATTTTTCTTTGAATTGCAGTTCACAAGGTCATCCAGTTTTTTTCCAGATGGAAAATTCAATTTTTCTTTTTGAGTCTTTTGGTACTGTAGGTTTTCAGAATGTTTTCCGGTGAATATTAATAGACTGTTCTTTGTTGTTTGTTATTTTTCAGTATTTTTGAAATTTCTGATCTAGGTATATGCGAATTTGGGAGTCAGTTTTGCAGAAAAATCAGTGCAAACAGTTTTTATTCATTTTGAGTTTTAAATTAGCTGGTTTTTCTCAATTTTTTACCGGGTTTGTAAATCGTATTCACACATTTTTGAAAACATTTTTGATTTTGCGTGTGTTCTGAGTATCTGGGAATCTCTATATTCAAGACTTGTTTGTAATTTTGAAACTACAAACTCATAACAATTTTTTTTTAAAACTTGAGTTTATAAATCTTCTGTCATTGAGAAATGTGTTAAAAACTATCAATAAAACGAGTACAGGTGTGATAAAAAACCACCCCCCCCCCTGATCTTTTATCTAGTGTTTATATAGTTCCAGACAAATAATTTCAAACCTCAAAAGCCACAAAGCCAATTACAAACAAATACACATACACTAACAATTCGAAAAAAGTGAAATTAGTTGTTGTCACTTTCGATCCCTGAGTACCTTTCCTTCTTCACGCTAAAATGGTATCTGGCATCTGGTTTTTTGGTTTCTCCTACATCTTCTCCTTTTTTCAATTGTTCTCACACCGCTTCTACCTTTTCTTCAATTAGGTATCATTTCTTATTCTAAACGGCTCATTAATTTTGGATATCTCCAAATATTTGCTTTACAAGAAGACTTTTTTCAGTCACCATTCTTATCAATATATTTGCCAGGATTTGTTAATGAGGTTTGAATTCCTCATTTTATTGCTAGCGCATATTGCGTCAGGTATGTATAATAATTGGAAGATTGCAGAGTGTGAGTTTTCAAAATAGCACAATTTTCAGCATTTTCATTACGGGTTTGTACTCGAAGGCATTATAAAATTTATTCTACTGCAGTTTTGCAAAGGTAAAATTTCCATATAAAAACCAAAATAACATTTCGTTCAGAGTTGAATTGAGCTCACCGGAAAAATGCGTCGAGCGCTGTATTGAGAATATGGATTACTGTTTCGTATCACAGTTCACAAAAAAGTCGGATGAGGTATGTTTCGATGTTTTGGTTCATGGTTTGTTATATCAGTTTTCTATTTCTCACTGATGTGAAAGATCTGATAATCTTTAACAATTTTCAAACTATGCAAGTGAAATAATTCTTCAGGATAACAATCAGAAAAAAAAAACACTTTTTAAAAAACGTTTTCATAGCTAATTTTCTCTTATTATTTCTCGAATGTTTTTAAAGGATCTTGGATTATGCACACTGTTCAATGAAACATTAGATAGTGAAATCCATCCTGACGCTTCAATGGATCCACTTTCAATAATTTATGAACTTCTGGAAAAATGCCCACCATTTACGGCCAGTGATATCACACATCGAATTACCAAACTCCACCGAGACACACTTCAAGATGGCAGAGAAGCAGGTAATTTTTCATATAAAAAACATTTTTATCTGCATTGAAAGCTTATAATTTTCCAGCTACCACTAGTAAATCTCGCTTGGCTGACGCATTTTTCCCTGAACGAGATCATATTAGTGTTGATGATTTACATCTTGAAGATGAAAGATATGCGGTGAGTGAACATAATTCATTATTTATATTCATGAAAAACTGGTTATATCAAGGTTATGCGATCAATTGAAGAGGTTGAAATTGAAGCAGCTAAAAATCGAGTGGAACATCCGCGAGATCCTTTCAATGATGGACCAAGATACCATCAATCTTCACATGAAAGAGGAGAGTTTTCAAGACATCGAAATCATAAAAATCAAGATCGTCGAGGTGGGGAAATAGAAGAGGATGAAGATGAAGGAGATGATGGTGGAAGAAATGTGAAACAGCCAATTAGACCGATTGTTGTTCATCGTGGTGGGCATGCTCAACAAATGAGTGCTCATGTCAAAGTTGGGAATCCATGTACACGTGAGTGAAACGACAATTGAATAATCAAGGGATTCCTAAAATGCGGACCAGGCTTGATGAAAACATTCAGATATTCCAAAAAAGTTCGGAAGTGAATTAGGAATGATTCCGAATTCTCAAAATCAGACGGAATGCATTTGGAAGAGGGCTCATTTCCGGCGTCAGTCTCATTCCAAAAAAAGTTATTTTTTTCAGCTAATGCAGACTGTGTTCCTACCCTATTCCAACTAGACAACGCTCCATGCCCAGCTCGACAAGGAGATCCTTGTGCGCCAAAACTTCCATGTGTGAGTTGAACGTCAACAAATTTCAAAAAACATCTATTTTTCCAGACAAATGACTGTTATCCCACAGCTCCAGGTGGCGGTGCTCAACAACTTCCAACTCCAGAATGGTCTGAATGGTCACAATGTTCAGCAAGTTGTGGACTAGCAATCAAAACCCGTCAATGTTTAGGAGGAATCACTTGTCCGGGCTTAGGTTCAGTAGCTTGTCAAGTTCCTGAATGTGCTGCTTGGACACTCTGGACACCGTGGTCATTATGTTCAGCTTCTTGTGGAGTTGGGGAGAAGACAAGAAACAGAATTTGTCAAACTGGTAGAAATTGTGATGGTCCTAGTATGGTATGATTAAAATTTTTTAATTTTTCTTTCAAGTCTATTTTTTCAGGAAGTCGAGGCATGCAAATCATTGTTACCTTGTCCACTTTGGTCATCGTGGACATCGTGGACAGGTTGTACAAATTCGTGCGGAAAAGGTATTGAAAGGCGAACAAGGATGTGTCAGGTAAGATTATTCATAAATTTTCAGTAACAACTCAGCGTTTGCGTACGTAGCTTAAACGTAGACGAACCGATGTCAGCCGCTGACATCGGTTTAGCTAGACAAATAGGTACGGTTTAGCTACGCAATGTGTGTTTGTGCGCCGGAAATGGGTTTTGTTTTCTTTTTTCAGTCGCCCTAGGAACTTTTCTGTTTTTAACACATAAAATATAAAAAAAGAAGAATTTATTATACAATTTATATACAGAAGTAATAAATAACATAATTTCAACAAAGATATTTACATAGAAAAAAATTATATCAGTTTTTTCCGGGTTTTGATGTAAATGGCGATGCTGATGAACATTTTGAGGCTGGCAATGTGATTTTCCTTGTCTGATGGAAGATTGAATGGGGTACGAGCTGAAAAACTGATTTATTGAACTAAAGATAGACTGAGAAGTGCAACTATTCTTCAAGAATTAGGAATTCAACAAAATATCCTTCATTACACAAGTTTAGACAGAAATTCCAACAATCTTCATTTTCTAGATTCTGCTTATCAGGATAATTAAAAATAACTCACTTTTTGTTTCCGAAATTCGTTTTCTGACAGCATAATCACATTCTTTCGATAAAAATCCATTTTTTTGTCAAAAAATCGATTTCCGAGCCTTTCAAACGGTTTCTCTGCAAATTTATTCATCATATATGGTGGAAATTAGTCTGTCAATGTAACTTACCTTCTTAAAACCGGTTTGAGTTGATGTAACTTGAATTTTAGGGAAATTTAGGCCTTGAAAAAACAAAAATGAAAAGCAAAATGAGAAACCGCAGCGCACTCGAGAGTATTCGCTTTGCAACGCGGTCAGCTTGTAAAAATGCGTAGCTAAACCGTAGCTACGCATTAGCTAAATGCACCCTCTGTCTACGTTTAAGCTACGCCCGCAAATGCTGAGAAGTAACATTCATTTTAGAACGGTTTACTTTGTCCGGGACCAGCTACAGAAGAAAGACCCTGTGACAAAGGACCATGTCCACATTGGTCGAATTGGGGAGCTTGGGAACAGTGTAGTAAACCATGTGGCGGTGGAGAAACTGTGAGTTTTTCCCGGTTATTTTCAGTATAGAAAAACGCATTTTGAAGTATCGGAATCGTGAATGTATTGATGGACATTCTTGCGAAGGAGCGTCTGAAGAGAAAATTATGTGTAATCTTCAAGCTTGCCCAGAATGGTCGCCATGGACTGCTTGGACAGTTTGTGATGAGAAATGTGGTGAAGATTCGATTAGATTAAGAAACAGGTGAGGATGTTTGGAATGACAGAAATTATTAGATTAAAATTAATAGGAATAATTCAAAACCTATAGCTTCTTCGTAAAATTGATATTATATTATTTCATTTTTGAGCATATCTTGAGTATCATCTTCAAATTATATTATTTATTAAAAAGTTTCAACTATTACTCTGATAAATGCGATCCCTTCTTTTCGCGAACCTACATTCTTCGCTACATTTTCATTAAAAAAAACACCTTTTTTGCAGAAAATGCCTGAACGCAGAGAATAACAATTCATGCGAAGGTCCAGCACAAGATCAAATGAGTTGTCCATATCGAGATTGTCCAAAGTGGGAAGAATGGGGAGAATGGTCAGATTGTTCTGTAACATGCGGCCAAGGAACTCAAAAACGCAATCGAAAATGTGATACAGAAAATGATTGTAGCGGACCATCAGATGAGATGCGTTTCTGTCAAATTGCATCTTGTCCTTATTGGGAAGATTGGTCACAATGGAGTGGTTGCTCGGTTACTTGTGGTAAAGGTGTCTGTGAAAGATCTAGGAGGTGTATTACTGATGAATTTTTGCATCTTCCAACACTTGAAGAAGTTGAACGAGATGACTCCCTAGAAAAACATGGTATTCTACTATTTTTCAAATTAAAAAAAAAATCGTGATGTTTTTTCAGAAGCAAAAGAAGCGTTGATAGCAAGAGCAAAAACTATTTCAAAATATCGAAGAACAAATGAGGTTTGTTTTTTTTTCTTCTTTTTTTTGAAATTAATAAAATAAACTCTCAGACAAGACTTGCTCCAAGAAAAGAGATGCCACTTGGTGGAACTTGTGATGGATCAGATAAAGATGTGAAAACTTGCGATGCTGGACCTTGTTGCTCTTGGGATAAATGGAGTGAATGGTCAAGTTGTATTGGATGTGGTAAAGATGGAATTATGAAAAGGAATCGAAGATGTCTTGCTGACGGACAGCCCATGCCAACATTAGGGTTCCAGGTATTTTTTTTCAAAATTTAAAACAAAGTTGGTGGCTGATAAGGTTTGAAAGAAAAACACGAACACACAAATCAAAAACCAAAACTCAATTTTTCTATATTTATTTATGATAGTTCATACATATATGTATGTATTGAATGTTGTTTTTACAGGGAGATTCTCCATCCTCGGGTGGTTACGTAACCTCGCCAAACGCCTTCAATCCATTACTTGCTGGCCTCGCACCAATTATTCCTGTCGAAATACACAGAGGAAAACGTCAAGCATTATGTAATTGCCCCGGAGAGTCATTCCAAACAAAACCATGTTCAACACCTCCAAGTTGTGACCAACCTAAAAAATCACGATGTGAATGGTCAGAGTGGGGTGATTGGTGTGGGTGTATGAGATGTCGAGGTGGAAAAGAGACCAGGAAACGTTTCTGTGATGGAAATGATCCGGATTGTAGTTGTGGAAATGGGAGAGATATTGAAGAAAGAGATTGTCCCAGAGAAGCAGGATGTTTAGGATTTAGTGGAAGACAGAGTTCTAGAGAACGAGAACAGCATGCTGATAGACATTTGAATCGTCGACCAACTGGACATCCCGGCCAAGAACCTAGTGGGAAATATGGATCGGCTGCTCTTTCCTCTCCGCATGATAGAAATTATAATAATAATCCAAACTCACCACAAAGACCTGGTCATTCACAAAGAGGTCATCAAGATACATACGTCCCAATTGATTCAGTAATTGGAAGAGTGCAACTCGGAACAGGTTCAGGAAACAGTTATAATAAAAAAGATTCTGCTGATATATTCACAACTACAGAATTACCATTCAAAGTTTGTCGCTGGTCAAATTGGTCAGAATGGAGTAGTTGTCAAGATAACACAAGTAAAGAAAGAAAACGTTTCTGTATTGGAGAAAAAGATTCTGAATTAATAAGCAATTGTGAATGTATTGGTCCATCTCAAGAAGAAGATAGTTGTGAAATCAATTTGGAAACTGATGAAGATATTGAGAAAAGTTTGGATAAATTATTGCAATCTAGTGAAACTTGCGAATGGACAAGATGGTCCCAATGGAGTGTTTGTACAGCATCTTGTGGAGAAGGTAGAAGAATGAGAAAACGACGATGTCCTTGTGGAGATTCGAGTTGTGGCCATGGAATTGATTCAGATTCAGAACCTTGTGAAGGACCACCGTGTATAGAAGAAAAGAAAAAACCAATTTTCACTGTTTTACCTTGAAAATCATTTTGTATCATAGACATAAATATTGTTTGTTTATTTTTTTTTCTTATTAGTTCATAATTTTTCAAAAAAAAACTTTCAACACTTTTTTTCAAAAATCATATGTTCATAAAACAAAATCAGGGTGGCATTTGGCAGCTGTTCGTCTTGTATCGATTAAAAATATCTAAACCTGCATATCAAATGTGAAACGTAGTTGTTATGCATATTATTTCTCGTTTTTTTCTTTTTATTTTCTTTCTTTTCCTTTTCGGTAACACGAAACAAAGCTATTAATAATAATGCAAATTGAATGAGAAGGTCAATGTTTCATTCTCTCTTGATTTTAGACAAAGTATATAAATACCATATCGAAATGACTTTTTCCACTTTATAGTTTAGGTTCATTCTTCAGTAGTTCAGTATCAAACATTAAAAGTTTACTAAATGTAAAGAAAACGTGTATTCTTTTTAATTTTTAATTAGTACACAAGATTTCTCTACTGTAAAAAACTTCTCGGTGAAACTATTATTATCCACAGGATTTGCTAATTCTGAAATTAAATTGGGCATTTATGTATCAGTTAATAAATCATGTGTTGTTATCAAACATTTTTCTTCTGTCACAATGTTTATTCAAATTTACGATAAAATAAACTATCACTATTAACATTTTTTATTCGCGTCTTCGAAAACATTTTTCGGTCCACAAAAGTGATTATTTTGATGAATTCTCCATGAAGTTTTTAGAAATACTTGTTCAACTATTTATTAATTCAAGTTAAATTTTTTAACTGAATATTTCATGTGTGGTCTTAATTGACGAAAATGTGTGTCTTTTTTTCTCATATTCATTACCCAAATATTTGCATATTTTTGTGTATTCAACCATTTATTGATTTGACCACTCTTTTTATATAAGTATTTTTATGTATAATATTTTCGATTAGTTGTTCTTCAGACAAACTTATTTTTTAACTGTTTTTGTTGCAGATGACTTCCTGGTTGAGCTCTTGGTTTTCTAAAGATGAACATCAAAATGTGAAAATTGATAGCAGTTTGGTATTTTAACTGATATTTTTGAGCCAAATACATTTAAATTTTCCAGACAAAACATTGGATTGGTGCATGGTGGCGTGATGAGCAAGAGTATATACCGGTAATTTTAATTTTTCTATTTGAAAACATGTGTTTTTGTTTCAGGAAATGAGACCAGGGGAAAGGTTATATGGACCGGACAATTTAAATTGTGTGTCTTTAGAAAACAATACAATCGCGGTTAGTTATCTATTGCATTTATCCAATATTTGAGAACGTTTCCAGTTTGATGGTTATTCACAACGTGATAGATTAGATGATGATTTCCTTTGGTTCCAACCAAAAAAATTATGCATGAGTTTTACAAAATTTCCAAGAGGAGAAGAGTATATTCGATTTTTGACTAGTGTTCGTACATTCATTATTTCAAACATAGAAATTGATGAAGTTTGCTATTGCTTATCATTCATGCCAAACTTGTTCAATTTGGTTATTCACGATTCACAGAAAGGAGAGAACTATTATCACGATGAAGATTTTATTCGAATGTTTGAATCATTGAAACTTACACAGACGAAATATTTTCAATTAATGTCAGTTTGCTTTAAAATTTGGAAGTTTTTTTCTGAAGGGCAAAAAAAACTTTCAAAAAATGACTTTCAAGTCGCGTTCCACCGTACTTTTTTCAATGTTAAGTGAAATTTTGAAATTATCGAATCCTATTAATATCCATTTTAAATTGATTTCTAAAACTTTCACAATATTTTACACAGTTTTTTTAATTTTCACCGCTTACCACATGTAATTTCTAAACTTATTTCAGATGTCAACTGGATCACAAATTGACCATAGAAGTTATTGATTCATTTTTGTTGGCAACGAAAGATTTAAGAGAGAGGCATATAAAAATACAATTTTATAAATTCGCAATCGACGGTAGAAAAATGCGTCCTATAATTGAACATGTGGATGGAATTTATCGATTTTTTGAGAGCACCGAAAATTGTTCGCAGACATACGAAATATCCAAGGACACAAACATGGTTCATAAATTTCTAATGATTTGAAGTCAAACATTTTTTTTCAGGCCGAAATATCGGGATCAATCATGTTTTGCTTTGTGGATTGGTTTCCAATCTTTGAGATTGTAAAAGAATTAGAGCGTAGATTGCCGAGGCAAACAAGTAATGTGGAAAGATTCAGAGACGTGTTCAGAGTTGAGAAAAAAGAATATGGTGCTCGCCAACTCAAAGTACTTTTTTCTCTTCAAGAAGCTGTTAATGGGATTAATCTGGCTGGATGGCTCTCGGAGAATTCTGAAGTTGTGAATGGTCTTCCATATGACGAAGTTGATGGATTTGTAGCTCTCTAAAAAATCAATTCAGTTGAAGAAAAAATACATTTCGCGAAATTTTTTTTTCGTGTCGTTTCGTGAACTGCAATTCAACAAAAGTTTTCTTCAAATGAATTGAACCATAATTTTTTCAATTTTTTTCTTCGCTGTTGTCTTTTTGTTTTTCAAAATTCTTGAACATCTCAGGTTTCAATTCAACCAATGTTTTTCAACTTAACAAAATGAATAAATTTATTAATTTTCCATTTTCGACCTCCAAGACAAAGGGTAAAAGTTAAATAGCATATATCAAAAAAATGAAAAAGGAGCTCACAGATACATTTTTCATTTTTCTCTCTTGCAAAAAAACATGATAAATGTTGAAGAGAGTCTCAATATTGATAGATAGATGCACAAAATTACACACAGTTTTTGAAATTTTGGATGTTCACGTGAGTAGCACGTTTCAGCTCAAAAATGGATCACCTGTTCAGGTCGAAAGTTGTTGTTGATCTGATTGTGAGGGGGCTGTTTCTTTTTGCAAAGGTGGGGAAAACAGAGACCAACATTGAGCTTAAGCTTGAGTTTGTACGAATGTGGATTTGTTGAAATTGCTATTTTTCAAAACAATTCATTTATGGATTTCAAATAACTTCAGAAATAGGCAACAAGCTTTTAGATAATTTGTGTAATTTTTTGTACATTGAACATTCTTTTTTGATTCATAGGCTAGTCATGGGAGTGAGAACCTTGGAAGAAAACCAATATGATCTTAAAAACCCCACATTTCCCCTTTCAATGCAGAAAATTGAATAAGCTGACAATGTCTTCTGCATTATTGTTCTGGCCCACGGCGAATCACCTTATATCTATTGTTTTCGGTGACTCATGAACATTAATATCACCTCAGCTACTCGATTTCGAAATAGTTCAACTTTCACCAAACTCCAGAGAAAACATGAGTAATAACTGTACACATGATACACATCATATCATTTTAGTCACAAAGTTAGTCTTTTGTGGTCCATAAGGACAGCTGTGACGCAAACGCAAAAGAGGCGGAAAAAACGAAAGAATCCGAACACGATAGAGCCAACACAACAAGACAACTCCACCCACCGACTTATTCTTCTTCTTCTTCTTTTTATCAAAAACAACATTTTCTACACTAATTTTTTTCTGAATTCTTAACACACATATCATAACTATGGGTTTTCGTATTATTATGGCCGATGATAATGCTAAGTGAGTTTTATTTTTGGAAATGTTTAGAATTATTGAAAATAAAACATAAATAATTTTAGAAATGAGTTTGAATGGGCTCCTCCAGTTCGAATTGTTGCAATTTGGACGCTTTTTTGTCGCAACTCTTGATGTTTTTGCAGATTTATTGATATGTAACTAGTAAGTTGTTTTTAAATAATCATTGAGAATTCATCTCTTTAAAAAAATCCCTCTGAAAAATTAAATTTTTTTCAGTCTTCGTGACAAATTCGAGATATTTTCTGAAGAAGGCGGCTCTCATCTTGTGTATGGGTATTTCTTTTTCACTGCAGTTAGCTTGATTGTATATGTGTTCGAAATGATTGATATATGTAAAACTTTGAAATATGATGAGGAAAATCTATTTTATGCCAGACTTGTCAAATCACTTATTCTGGTTTGTGAAGAGGTAAATTTTTTACTAAAAGTATAAAAAAATATCTGAAGTATGAAAAAATGAAGCCATCAGAAAACAAGCAATTTTCTTTTCGTCTGATGGACAATGTGTGATAAATCGCTTAACATAAACTGCTGTTTGAAAAACAAACAACATTTCGAATGTCGAAACAGCACAGTGGAAAAAGAGAAAACAACACAAAAGAATGTGGGTTGTGACAAGTGTGATAATTCTTGATTTCTGAACCTTTGAAGAAAAATAGAAAGCACATTTGTGCTAATGAAATTTGATAATGTACTAAAAATGTGAAAAAAAATGGATGTTGTAATTGAGAAAAGTGAGCATGTTGGAAAAACAACAGTGTCTGTTGCGAAATCAAAAGATTTGTCTAGATAGAGATGAAGCCTGAAGTATATACTTCATTATAAATTGTGGGATCTAATAAATCAAAAACGAAAATGTTGAAACGTTACGGTTTGTAATGTCTCACCTAATTTTAACTTCACATTTTTCCAATTTTGGTATAAAAAGTGAAATTTTTCGACTAATTTCTTTCACGATTAAATAAAATTACAAATTATACCACAAAAATTAATGTTTTTCGTTTTCTCCCAGATCATCTCGAAACATTGTTATCTTTGATTGATCAACAAAAGTGTACAGATAACATCAAAATCCATATGCTTTTCGAGCTCTTCTTTTTCTTCATCCTTCCTCAATACACATTTATCATTGCAGCACCAAACAATTTGTTATAAATTGTCAACGTTTTCTTTCTCTCATTTTCTGCACCGACACAAAACAAAACTCTATTATCCAGGTTCATACCACAACAACGCGAACTCAAAATTACATCCTAAAAATACAAAAACAAAAAACAATTGCTTTGTTTAAGGTTAAAATGAGTTGATTTCAGGTGCCACTTCCTCTCATTTTATACAATCTGATGGATTATAGAGGTGGAATAACGTTAGCACACTCATTCGGACTTTTATCAATGATAAAAATCGTCACATTGGCATGGGGATTTATCAAATTCATAAAAATGCGATTTTTCTGGCCATGTTTGCCATTAAATCCAAAACACGAGACAAGGTTTTTTCAAATACTCATCAATATTTTTCTGACTTTATGTTTAATATTTTCAGAGAAAACGTGCGACGCTGTTTTACTCTCACACAATATCGAATCAGTATGGTTATTGTGAATATTTTCCACGTCATCGCACTTACTTTATGTATTTTATGTGTGAAAAAGGCTCGTGGAATTCAAACTCTCGGAAGTGGTGGTACAAATTAATTTTGAATAGTTTCTTTTTTGTTTAGCTGTGGGTATCATAAATACTGGTTTTTATCAAAAATAAATAATTATAAAACATTTTCTTCTCTTTTTTCCTTCGACAATGAACAAATTAACATTATTATATAAAAAAGCAAAGTTTCTTCTCTCAAAACAACGCCACGTGCAATAACGATGTCTCTGTCTCTGAGTCTCTTCAAGTCGTCTCGTCTCTCGCTTAGCAAACAAACCAAGCGCGCTCTATTGCACACCGCTTCGTTTTTTATACACGTCAGCCAATCGTATTTGAACACACACCTTTTCTTTGTTCCCGCCCTTTCTCCTACTCAATTTTGGTTATTCTTCTAATAATATTTTAGTTGGATGACGATGTCTCGACTAGTTGTTTTGGCTCTTTTGGGTGAGTTTTTATTTTATTTATGAGAAAATGATATAATGAAGTTTGGTTAGCTGAATGCTAGACTGTTTTATTATAGTAATTTAGTATGAGAAAATGAATTATTTTTGAATGAAAATCATAAATTTTCCAGCCATTGGATCGGCGTCTGCCCTTTTCTCAAAAAATGACGCTGTTATCGAATTGACCGCCGCAAACTTCCAATCACAAGTCATCAACTCTGATGATATTTGGATTGTTGAGTTTTATGCTCCATGGTGTGGACACTGCAAAAACTTGGTTCCGGAATACAAAAAAGCAGCGGCTGCATTGAAAGGAATTGCCAAAGTTGGAGCTGTTGATATGACTCAACATCAATCTGTCGGACAACCCTACAATGTTCAAGGATTCCCAACATTGAAAATCTTCGGAGCTGATAAGAAGAAACCAGTCGATTTTAACGGTGAGTTGAATTGAATTGGTACGCCAAATGGTACGGCGACTCTCTTGAGTAAATAACCGTTTTAGTGTGTACTCAATAACTGTTCAAATATACTTGATTGATCCGCCAGTTTGTGTTGGCTAGTCGGCTGACCTTGAAAGTAAATATGACTACACAAGAAAAAAAAGTGGGTCAAAATGTGGACATGTTTATTTTTCAGGACAACGCACTGCTCAAGCTATCACTGATCAAATTTTGGCCGAAGTTAAGAAAGCTGTTGCTGCTAGACTTGGTGGAAAATCAAAGACATCATCTGGAGGATCATCTTCTGGTGGAAAGAGAGGAGGATCTGGAAGTGGATCAGGAAGTGGAAACGAAGTTGTTGAACTCACTGATGCCAACTTTGATGAGCTCGTTTTGAACAGCAAGGATATCTGGCTTGTTGAATTCTTCGCTCCATGGTGCGGACACTGCAAGAATCTTGAACCACACTGGAAGGCCGCCGCTGCTCAACTCAAAGGAAAAGTTCGTCTTGGAGCTGTCGACGCCACAGTCCACACTCAAGCTGCTGGAAAATTCAATATTCGTGGATTCCCAACCATCAAATATTTCGCCCCAGGATCCGATGTTTCTGATGCTCAAGATTATGATGGTGGAAGACAAACATCTGATATTGTCAGCTGGGCTGAATCTCGTGCTCAAGAAAACCGTCCAGCTCCAGAAGTTTTGGAAGGAATCAACCAACAAGTCGTTGAAGATGCTTGCAAAGATAAGCAATTGTGTATTTTTGCTTTCCTTCCACATATTCTTGATTGTCAAGCCGAATGCAGAAACAACTACTTGGCATTGCTCAAGGAACAATCGGAGAAGTTCAAGAAGAACATCTGGGGATGGATCTGGGTTGAAGGATCATCACAACCAGGATTGGAACAAGCTTTTGAAGTTGGAGGTTTTGGATATCCAGCTATGACTGCTTTCAATTCAAGAAAGAACAAATATGCTGTTTTGAAGGGATCATTTGGAAAAGATGGAATTCATGAGTTCCTTCGTGATTTGTCATACGGAAAAGGACGCACTTCATCTCTTAGAGTGAGTTTGAAATCGTTAAAAAAAATGACAATTACTTAAATATTATCATTTTCAGGGTGATGCTTTCCCAAAAGTTGAGACTCTCACTAAATGGGATGGAAAAGATGGTGCTCTTCCAGCTGAAGATGATATCGACTTGTCTGATGTTGACCTTGACAAGACTGAGCTTTAAATACACCAATTACCAAATGTTTTACAATGAGGATTTAATTTTAACGGGTTTCTAATATTGATTACTCGTTCAAAATCATTTGTTTTTCTTCTTCCTACTTTTCAAGAATAATTTTTTTGTTTTTGTGCCTTTTCGTTTAATTTTCCCGGATCTTCTTAATTTATTTATAAATGAAATTTTGTATTTCCCATTATGTAAGAAATGTGAATCAAAATGAAAATCACAAGAAGTCATGAATCTGAAGTAAAACATCTATATCCTTGCTGATCCAATTCTCCAATGGATCAATTCATTTGAAGAAAAAATGAATTTCGCGACATTTTTTGTCGCGAAATTGCAATTCGTGAAACGACACGAAATAAACACAAAAATAAAGGAGAAATATTAAAGGGACACGTAATCGCTGCGAGACCCAACACACGAAAAAAGAATTTCCTCTTTTATTTTATTAATTTCGTGTCGTTTCGCGAATTGCAATTTCGCGACAAAAAATGTCGCGAAATTCATTTTTTCTTCAGACGAATTGATCCACAAGATGAAGTATTAATCACGACAATGCAAATATACTATGTTAGAATCAATAATTGAAATTCAAGTTAGGTTGCCCAAAGTAACCGCCTAATAGGGTTAAATTTTTTTGAAACCGAGTTTTGAGGCGTGTCTGTTAACACATACAGTTTGTTTCACACCGATTAGTATAATTTATTGCTGTCTTCTTTCTTTGAAATGTCTCGATCATGTTTTTATTCTTTTTTATCTGTCAAATGATTTTCCCCTATTAATCTGTGTTCCAAAAGAAACATATAGAATCTAAAACTTTGCTGCTAATTTTTCTAAATTGGTATTTTCCGCGGACCATCTTTTGACACAAGAGAAATTGAAGGTGATATGTATTGTCTCGCGTACGCATTTTTTTGGTAGGAAATACTCAACTCTCAATGAAAATGGCATATATCTACTTTTCATCGATCTTTTCTATGTGTACCTCTGTAGATTATTGTTCTGAACACCGGATAGTATTTGGAACATCTCCAAGTAGATTGGGGATTAATTTATCCTATTATTGTATCCTAAACTTTAATCTTGAAAGTCAATGAAAGAAAAACATTTTTGATTGTGCTAAAAAAGATGAAAACGTTCATATAGTTAAACTTCTTGTATCAGGGTCATTTGATGAACAATTTTTCACAAATTATGAAAAACCATTATAAGTTTTTGTTTCAAAATTTCCTTTCACCTATCCTCCGTCTTTCTCTTTTACTGTAAATTGTATCAACTCAAAATTGCAAATGATTTTGTAACTCAACTGCAGACAGACACATCATTATGATTCGTATAGTAAATGTGGACCATATGTGAAAATGTTGTCATAGAATAATCTTTTCTCAAATTGCAAACTGTGAAATTGAATCAAAAAACCATTATTGTTTCGCTCTTCTTGAAGAATAATAAAGTTGTTTACTGTTTGCTCAAAAAACGGAAATGAATTTAGTGTTTAGATGTTTCTCGAAGAAAAACATAATTTCGAAAATTATCTCTACATGAAAATGATGGTACAAAGCAAGCATTTCGAAATAACTCATAATTATTTTCGAAATATTCAAAACTGATAAGTTTCGCAACAAAATAATGCAATGCTTGTTTATTATTCTGACGATATGAATTTATTTCGAGTTTTTTCCAAGATTTATTATTCTTCATGTGAATATTTCGCATTATAATCAAAAAAAAACAAATTGAATAATATAAGAGCTGGTGGGTTGGTGACTAACTTCTTTCTTATCATCAATTTTCTCGCTTTTTTCAATATATAAGTAGCAAACTCTAATTTATTTCTACCTGTTTTCAATTTCGGTTTTTTTTTGGGTGTGGGTGGTTCCAAAATTTCTCTGATAACAGTTTTGTCGAAAACTCTCATGAATTTCAGGACTTTTGATTTGCATACAGTACCCTAATCAATTTAATATTTTTGTCCTATTCAATGTACTTTTCTCTTCACCATAACTTTTTAAAATTATATTTCATTCGCTTTCAACATTATATAAACATTCTAGATACTTAAATGTTTTCTAATAACCTGTGAGTGAAAAGTTAAACATGTATCAGTCTGATTTTTGAACCTGTGAATTTAATATTCACTTCTCGAAACTTTTCGAAATATCCTTGCAACTTTTTTTGCACATAGATTTTCTCAATCTGCATATTTGATTTGTTCCGTTGTTCTCTTGATCTTCTTCTTTTTCCTTGTTTCAATTCAAACATCAGATAAATCAGTCATTTCTACTGAAATCGAAGCCAAAAAAATACGATGAAAAGAGAAAAAACAGAAATTGTATTACAAAATTGAATTTCAAAAGGCAACAAAAAAGAAAGTACAACGTACTTCTTCTCCTTCTTCTTTCCTCTTTTTTTTTTGACGATTTATGTTGCGAATTTCGGTCAGTAACTTCTTCCTTTTCCTTCATCTTTTTCATCTTATTCTTTTATCCTTCGATAGGCAGATGTTCCATCTCTTCTTTCTTCTATCCTCCCTTCTTTTTTCTTCTTCTTCTGCTCTTCTTTCTGAATTCCAAATCCCGCCCATTTTTTGTGGTCTTCGCACGTGTTGCTTCATCGTTGCATTCTTCTTGTGTTTTTATCGTCCCTCCTTTCCCGTTCCAAAAATGTTTGTCTGCACACTTTTTTTTGTGTAAAAAATGTTTCTTTTTTGCAGTTACAAAATGCTTCACAAAATATTGATTACCCTATTCATATTATTCACATCAATTCAATCACATAATCATCGTCGACGTCGAGATGATTCGGAAGATGTTGATGATATTCGTAATACACTTCCATGTGATGTTGTTTGTGAGGCACAGTGGAAAAGTGAATTCCATGTGAGTTTCAGAAACTAGGGGTTTTTTCAATATCTTATTTTCTGCCAGACAGACAGAAAATGTTGCTATTTGATAAAAAATAAACATTTTGGTTTTTTTTCAGACAAACTTTCATCGACTTTACGATACACAATATTTCGAGATTCCGCTTGATTCAACAATCGTTAAGAATCGCGCAAGTCTGAAAATGTTTTGCAGTTCAACACAACAAAAATATGCATGTTTCCGAAGAGATTGTAAAATCCATCGTACTCCTTGGTCACCGGATAAACATATTTGTGTCAGAAATTATGAGCAATTCGACAAGAATATCAATTGTTTAAGGTAATATTTATTAAAAGCACTATTCAAAAATATTTTCACACGGTATTAAAATAGAATGGGCCAAAGAAATTACGATGACTTTCACAAATCTTGGCATTTGAAATGCGTCATTTCCGCAGTTTTGAAAATTGACCCCTCACAATTTCTACTCAAAAATGACGAATCTCTTTCCGGGTTTCTTCTTTGTCCTTTTCACTCCACTCTACACTAATTTTGTTGCAGTTTGACTGACCGATATGTTCAAAAAGAGTGTTCAACGATTTGCGACAAAAATATCACATTATCACATATTGAAAAACAACGCTTACACGAGCTACGGCTTAGCCATCCGGCTATAACTGCACTTGAAGAGCAAAACAACGAATGCCATTTTATTGCCTGCCATCAAATGTGCCATGTAAGTTCACCATCAATTTTGTTAATTGGTGTTTATTTATATATTCATGTATTTTTGTCTCATTTTTTCTTTTTCAAAACTAATTTTCAAATTTAAGGAATATGTTGTGAGCAAGTTATGTATTGACAGTGCATCTTCTGCTCGAGAACTTCTTAAGAAATATTATGATTCATATCTGGAACGAGAATATACAGCACTTCGAAAAAATGGACATGGCACTATATTTTCCAGTTTCTGCCGGCGAGTTACACCAGAACAAAATGAGAATGCAATCACACCAAATATGACTGTTTACAACAATGGAATCCTAGACATTATGAAAAATGATATTCGCAACATTTTTCAAAATCTTGTTTAACTAATTTTCATCTTGTTTTTAGATAGTTTTATTTATTTATTTTAATTTATTCAATTTTATTGTTTTGTTTTCAATATAGATAGTCCTTTAGTTTTTTAGATTTCTCTCTTTTTTACTAACATGAAACTCCATTAAGGGTATCTATTTTTCGCAACATTTTGTTCTTTTCCAGTAACATTGCACTTTGCACAATTCAGAGACAACAAAAGTTTTATGGCCTTCCCCATAAATTTTTTATCTCCTCTCCTTTTTTGCGAAACAGGATTTTGTTTTTTATTTTTCTGTATTCAAGTTTCCATATTTATCTCCCGAAAACATTTATGGGTATATTTGTTTTGTTTACTGCTTTTTGGCAGCTTGCTTCTGAATATTTTTCATAATATTAATATTTTTCTTTTTTTTTTGTGAAATGAACAGTTTCTAGTTATAATCGAATATTTACATACAAAAGTGACATTGAAATTAAATTAAATAAAAATCAGAAAAATGCGATAAAAATCATAACTTATCATCATAATACATTGCGTAATAATCATTATCTTTTCGGAAATTTCGAATTGTAGTAGTTGTGGTTGGCCGAGTGGTGGTTCGGATTGTTTGCACTGTTCGGATCGGGGTTGTTGTTGTGGTTGCCATTCGAGTTGTTGAAAATGTCTGAAGAAAATTTTAAAACAAATCAAGAATAAACTTCGAAAAAAAATTACTCACTCTTGTAACTGTCATTGTCTCAACAGGTTTCTGATTGACATCAACAACACTTCCTGCATGAATTCTCTGAAAAAAAAACAACACTTCGATTTATGTTGCTCAAGAATGTTAAGAAGATGATTCATACCTTAATTATTTTTGTAGGCGCCACCTCGGCGGTGTTTACTGTTTCGGCTTCATTTTCATCTCCTCCTTCATCAATTGAAAATGATATTGGGGGCATAGTCTCTAGAAAAATATAACATGTGTTTTTTGGGTTCGGAATGCATGTGAGAGAGGTGGATTCTCAAGAGTTTGAATTTTGAGAAAATAAATGATGTGAGTAAACATTTTCTATAAAAGTGATGTCTGAAGTCATTAACTTTTTCAGTTATTCAGTTCACCTAATTCTCCATTTTCCCTCTAAACTCACGACTAAAATCTGGCCCATTTTCCTTCGTGATTTTGGTAGATGGTGGTGGTGGTTTTTCATCAACTGTTTCATATTCAGCAGAATCGTCTCCAGCATTAGAAACTTCAGAATAATAATCTTCGCTTCCTCCTCCGCCAGCCTTCTTATCAACACTGAACTCTATCTTTGTCACATTTTCTGTTTCTCCATCTTCACTGAAATCTATTCCAAAATCTCCATCTTCTGGCATCAATTTTGAGTTTTTACTTCTGGCTGGAAAAAATGAAGTTAGATGTTCAGTAGAAATAATATAGGATAACTCACTGATATTGCTCTCTTTTTTAACTTCACCCAAAGCGCTTCCAAACAATTCTTCCATTCCACTTCCAGCAGTAAATTGTGAAATCAACTCCGGGTTAGAGAGAAGTTTACCGATGGTTTCCCAACCATTTGGATCTTGCACCAATGTCAACGCTGTCTGAAATAAATATAATATATTTTCAAAATCATTTTTAAAAATTTTTATTAAAATAATCACCTGGAAATTACTGAACATCTCTGATTTTCTAAATTTGTCGATTGCTTTGTAAATATCACCACAAGACAGACGATTACAAATTCCCAAAAATTCAGGCAATTCAACTCGTTGATCACCAAGTTCACCCTTATCAGCAGCACCCATAACTAATGTATCAACAATTTTTTTGAAATCAAAGTTTCCGATTTTTCCGTTATCCGATGTATCATGTTGAGGAGCCGCGGCTGGTTGAATTTTTCTCTGTTGATCCATCATTCGAAATATACCCGTTAAAATTCCACGTTCACCAAAAAGTATTTGAGCAGCTTCTTCTTTTGATGCTGTAAGAAAAAACACTGCTAAAAGGAATTTGAAAAATCATTTTTCGCAATTTTTTTGGATATTGTGATAAGAATTCAAGACAGGAAAATAAAACCTTTTTTTGAAATAAAAAAAGAACACTATCATAAACTTTTCACATACCTTGATTTTCAACTGGAGCATCATTCGAATGTAGCGGTTTTGTTTGGGCGGTTATAAAAACCACCATTGTAATCACCAAAACAACTTTCATGTTGGCAAGCTCATCAAAAACTGTGAGAATATTCTAAATAAAAATTAAATTGGTTTATTCATATTTATTTTCATGAAAAAAAACAGAATAAATTAACAAGCAAGATATCATAAAACCGAACAAGAATGGCAAGAAAATTGAAAGTGACAGAAAGGTCGAACTTTTTCTTCTTCTTTTTTTTGCCTCATCATTTCACCTCGAAAATAAAAAAAAACGGGCTTTTCAGTCAAAAAAAAAGAAGAATCAATCGATGACTCATTTGTCTGTAATAGTCTTTCTCTTTTTTCTTTATTCATTTTTACATTTATTTTTACACTACACTAGAAATACACAAAATAATATGAGTAATGTAATTGAGACCAGGAAAAAATACAAAAAGGAAAAGAAAGGCGACTGTAAACGAGAAGAGAAGAAGCTTATGTTCGAAATTTGAAGGTCGACTATTTCTCACCTGATCTGGAAGATAGTTTTACATTTAGTTTAAATGAAAAATGACGCTGTAACAAAAATAAAAACGGCGTTGACCTTTATGAGTCACTTTCAATACATAATTCTGTAGCGAGAATCGGAAGATCAATCAAAAATTGAGTTTTTGTCATGAGGTCAACCTTTTAGGGAAAGGTTTCTTCACTCAAAAATTTAACATAAAAAATCTGATGCTTCACTGGAAATTTTTGATATTTTGCAAATTGTGAAAACCCAGAGCTATTAATAAAACCATTTTAAATTGATATAAGTGTTATTTGAACGATTATATGGAATTTCAAAATAGCGAAATAATTTTCTGAAAAAGTTCGATATGCCAGATTTGTTTTTCTTCTCGAATTTTTTAAAAAGCTTTTTGAGTTTTAGAATGTTTACAGAAAGCTGGACTTTGCGAGAAGCATTCTAGTGAATCTGGAAGAACGATAATCCATTCTAACATTTAATGCTACATTCAATTAACTATTTTTCAAACTTTAATACTTTTTTTTGCTTTGAGCGAAAACATCGTGTGGATTTTTTGAACTCCGGGTTTCGAATATGAAAAATAATACAATTTGTGAAAGAAGATTTTTTTGAATATGGGGAAATTGTGAAGTTAAATCTCCCAAGGTTCATCAAAAGATTAACAATCGAGATTTGAACTATATTATTTTCGAAAGCTCAAGAAAACAAGCATGAAACAATAAAAAAGTAGAAAAAAGTATGAAATGAAGCTTCACCACATAGACACTTTCAATTCATTTTCTACCTCTTCCCTCCTGTTTCTTCGTTCTGTTTTTCTTTGTCAGTCACACAACCAAAACTTGTTCTCTCTTTTTTTCGTTTAACTATCCTTCAAGGATTATGCATATATTACAAAAGTGGAGACAATTTTTTCAATGATTTTATTTGAGACAAGAAAATAATTTTTTTTTCAAAAAAACATATTCAGCAAATTTAAAATAAAAAAGTTTCAGAGAATCACAATACATATTATACCATCGTCATCATCTTACTTACAAATAAAACAAAATGAGAATAATTATTATATGTATAGATAATTAATTTTTTTGTAAAATATGACAAGAAAAGGTACATTAATGTATGCCTATTTGTATTTTCCTTCAAATGGTGATTTCATATTTGTCAATTCGGTTATCAATAATTCGATTGCATGTTCCTGAAAAAATCCCTTTAAATATTTTATTCCTTTCAGAAAAAAGGCTCGAAAGTTCATTTCCCCTTTTCCTTCTCTTCTCAAAAAATGCGTCATTTCCCCTTCTCCAGATTTGTATTTTCTCAGGATGAGATTTGAACATTTTTTACGTCAATAAAAAACTTCGGCGTGAAGTTGAAGATTACCTGATTTGGAGACGATGGATTTCCCATTTCAAAATTAATCGACTCTTTTCTTTTATGAGCTCGATCTTCATGCATATCTCGTTTCACACTTGCCAGCCAAGTTTGTGCTTGTTTAAGAATTGCTTCGCGTCGAAGCCAACAATGTTTTCGAATAATTTCTTTAAAATGCGACGATGAACTATGCAATTGTTCTTTTATTGCATAATTGAGTGTTGCATGCTCAATTTGCAAATTATATTTCCTTGAATAGTCTTCGCCTTTTTCAGTTCCTTGATATTTTTCAAATCCTGGCTCATTGAAATAGGGATCTTTGACGAAGATAAGACCCTGAAATACATTTATTTTATTTTCAGCCTACGCGTTCAAAAGTCGAAGCTATGTAAAGTATGTAAAACTATGGATTCTCACGTTCTTATTAAGATTAAAGAAATCCCTAAATATATTTAAGCTGATTGTGTGAACACAATGTTTTTTGATTTGAGTCTGAAAAATCAAAGGAAAAAAATAATCATTAGTTACCAAAAAAAACACAATTACGCAATGATCTTTGATGCTTATAAACAAACTAACCTGTATGCTAACAAGAACTTGCATAAGTGAGCAGTATGGATTCCATTTTTCTTCCGGTCTACCTTCCCATGTTCCCAAAATTGATAGACAAATTTTACCATCATTATATAAATTTGGATTGAAACGAACATTTCCAGCGCCAGTGGTTAGGAATGCACATTTTGGTGGAGAAACTGGATAATTTGATGGGAAAAATACATCAAATTCAAATAGCCCGTTCGCATATGGTGTATCGTCTGGTCCAGAAATTAGAACTTTCAAAAGATCACATCTACCTTCGTCATAACAAACATATATTGAATTACTGGCATTTAATGGCAGTGAACTGTTCATTGAAGCTAATTCTTTTGCTATTCTTTTAGTTCTGAAAAAACCAAAAATGTGTGTTGAGTAAGAATGTTTTCATCACTGAAGACACTTTTGATGTATTTTCTGTCAATAAGTCGTGAATCATATTTTTGAATTTCCGAAATTCGTTAGAAAAAATAAGAAACTGTTTTTTTTTATTTCTATTTGTTCTTTGAACTTTATCAAATTTATACCCTGAAATAGTTTTTTGTGAGCTGCAATTACCTTTCTCTAAGATTCGGCGAAAACGGGTTCAAATTTCTAGCTTCTTTTTTGAAAGTATATGGAACAGCAAGTTTTCCATAATCTCCGAAAAATTTGAAAGTTTGAAGTTGATGATTTTTCATAAGATTACGATAAATAATATCTTCCGAATCACCAACACCATATGTTTTCTCAATCAACGCCGCATTTCTTTGCGATGCTGTTCGAATTCGTTGCTCAGGTGGGAGTGAACTTTCATACGTTCGAGCGGAATCAATTACGAACTAAAAACAATACAAAATATAATCAATCTCAGATGTTTTAGTTGATAACTTACATTTGATAAAAACTCGACTTTTCGCGAGAAATCAGTCAAACGGAAATCTGAATCTTCAAGAGTTCCACCCCATTTTTCATGAATGTTCAAAATATTCTCTTTGAATTTTGGAATTAATTCCTTGGCTATTGATTTTGCATCAGGTTGATGTGGTTTAACCAATCTTGGAATCAAACCAGGAATTACTGACATACAAGCAGCTGTCTCCAAGAGTGACTGCAAAAATTTCAGATGTTTATTTTCAATTTAATTACTGCTATAAAATGAAATGAATGTTGCGGGTTTAGAAAATAACCCTTTTTTTTCAGAAGTTGTCATTTTTGTTATGAAGTGTGATCTTCAGTATATTCGCAATATTTTCAAATATTAACTAGATCATCACACAACAGATTATAACGATTAAAATCCGACGTTCATTTTTTATAAAAAGTGTGAATATTTTATGAACATATGTAAACTCTCATCAGATTGTGAAACAATTCTCTCAGGAAAAATCCAGTTCTCCAAAATTACAGATCAGACAAAAATGATAACTTTCTCATGATTTAGGTGTCTTTCTCAAAAATTATAGAGTTTTTCCAAGTCCGCAACATTCTTTTTGCAAGAAAATGTTATATACCTGATAAATTTCAATATGTTCACTGACGTCAAAAAAGCTATCATTTCTCAAATTGTACTCAAGAATACTGAAAATTTGTGAATCGCCAATTATTTTGATTGTTTGCGCATCCATATGTTCAATTTCTTCATCGGATTTCTTTTTCAATGCATCACCAATTGGCCATGATATAATGAAGGCATTGAATGCGTTCAATAACCATGTCAAGTTTTCTTCACGTAACATTTTTTCTTCAACCTAAAGAAAACATAATTTTGACTCGAAACAGAAAAAAAAATCTGAAAATTTTAGATTTTTGTACTTCTCAAGAGTACAAAAAATCTAATTAGAAAGTACAATTTCTACAAATATACTCAGGCAAATCGTCCCACCGGTGGGCCCACCGGTGGGAAACCGGTGGGAAAAATAAACAAAAACACTGGTGGAACACCTCTTTTTGGTGTTCAGACGGTGTTCAAACGGTGTTAAGCGAGTGTTAAGGTGGTGGTACACCGGTGCTATTATCAAATTTGTGACCACCGGTTTCCCACCGGTGGGCCCACCGGTGGGATTATTGAAGAGAAGGTGTTGAGTGAGTGGAGATTTGGTGTTACACCGGTGGGACGATTTGCCTGAGTAATATATCAAAGAACCCTTACAGTTCGTTCAATATCCCATCTTGATCGTGTTGATCCAGTTCCATAACCAATTCCCTTATGTGTGAAACTTGCTGATGAATTGCGACGTCCACGTCTTTTATTTTCACCCGAGCTATTTCTTGATCTGAAATTTGATCACTTTATTTTGCCATTATTTTTTTCGTTGGTCATTTATTCACATCATTTTGTTTTTTTCCGCTGTTGTTTTTCCCACATTTATTTATTTATTTGTACATATTTTTATAATAATAACAAAACAACACAATTCTTCCTCTCTTCTGTGTGAAAAAACTTACGATTGACCACTGTTATCAGATATTGCAGTTTCAGCAATCAAATCAAGAAGTGTGTGAAGAATTCCAGCTCGAAAGAGATTGGCTTTTTCAGCCGCGCTAGATTCATTGATATATTTTGTGACTTTCAACATATGCGCCATTTTCAGAGGTTTTTCACCAAGCATATTGACTATTCTCTCAAGCACAGAAATCGTTTCATCAGGTTCAGGGCTATAATTTTTAATTGGAAAAAGTTGAAACAAATCTGTAATTGTTAAACTAACCTTGATGTTGATGCCGAAGATCCCATCAAACTAACACGAGACAACCAAATACAACCAAACCAACAACTTCGAGTTCGTGATTTTCCTGAAAATCATTTGTACTTTGCTAATTAATTAGATACAATTTATTTTTTTCTTTGGGGAATTATTACTTATGAATCAAAACAAAAACCAAAACCAAAAAAGAATCAATTCTTTTGAATAGAATATTTTTCAACAAAAAATGATATAGGGTTTGTTTTTGTATGAGTTATATATACGTCTGTTTACCTCGAATAATATCGTATCCCTTAGCAACTACCATTTTTTTCAGAGCATTTTTGCTAGATGAAAAACAAGATTTCTACTTTTTAAAGATTTTTGAAATAAGAATTCTGATATTAAAAGTTGGCCACTGGAAAATTATCTCAAAGTCGAAAAAAAAAATGAATGACAACTGAAAATGAAAATAAAAATAAATTATGGGGGCTGAGAAAAATGGAAAGATTATCCATTATCTCTATTATTCATAATAATAAAAAGTTATTTCCGGGAGAAAATATGAAAATAATCAGGAAACTTGAATCAATTTTTTCTTTTGCAAAACAGGGGAAAAACGTTTTTCTGTTTTGCTGATCTGCAAATTCCCAGCGACTAGAAAATCTAAAGTGATATGGGTCTGCTTTCTATCATGTTCTTAGCCCTGAAAACTTGTACCTGTGAGAAAATGTAGCATTTTCAGATTTGCTGTATAGGAAAGAAATATAGGGTAGGAATAAAATAAAATAAAGCAATGAAAACGGGGCAAAATAAAATATCAAATAAAAAACCCACTTCGCTCTCTCGGATGTGCCAACGAGCTCATACTGGAAGATCGTTGTGATGTTGTCGTTGATTCGGTCATGTCTAAAATTGGAATCGAAATTAAAATAATAATAATTTATGATTATTGTTTTTCTTATTCGTTTCAACACGCGAGACCAGACGGCAAAAAAAGAGAGAAAAACGAAGAAAACCAATTCCAATAGCTGAGAAATCCTCTTCCAAATATACAATTTCAGAAATAAAAATAATGTGAAAATGGCGACGGAACAGAAAAAAAGACAAAGAAGACGAAGAAAACAGCTTCTTCTTCTATTTTTCGGGAAAAAGAAAGGGATGACAACGACCTGAACGGAATAAAGAAACATAATACTTTTGGTGTATGGTGTATAAAATATTGTAACTTTTTATTTATTTTTATTATTTTTCAGAGGACGAGCTAGAACTTTGTGTGGAGTGGGAGTTTTTTTGTAAGTTGGTAGATGATTCCGGTTCAGCCTGAGAGTACACTCTGTTTTTGCTTGAATAAAAATGATATCATACAGGTATGGAAATTGGGAGGAAATTCAACGGTGTAGGTTTTATTTACGATATGTGAAAAAAATGATTATCAAAGGGATTTGAGTGGTCACAAAAGACAGAAGGCAGAAAAAAGGTTGAAGTACCGTAATCATCCAGCAAGTCTGGAGTAGTTGTGGCCATTTTGAACAGAGAAAAAATACCAGACAGTCTTTCGTAGTTATTGAAAATCAAAAAGCGGTTTGAAAGAAAATCTATGTTTTTTAATAGAAATAAAGTCTACAAAATTATTCAAAAAAACGTGTTTTCTTCATATTCCACTAAAAAACTTTTTCAATATGCTCAATTATGAAAAGTACGCACCAAGCTAAAAAAAAGCACACATTCCATGACTAAAATGTCATATGCAGAACTTACCTCTCAAGTACACACGCACTTTCAACAGTAATTTCTAGAAAATCATAGATTTTTGATTGAATAGAATGAAATTTAAGCAAAAAAAAAGTGAGTCAGTTTTAAAGAGAAATATGATTAAAATCGAATTTCCTTCCTGTGAGAATCGACTAATTCTCTATATTTTTAGAGATAATTTTTTGGACAATATAATGAAAAGAGAATTTTGGTTGTTATTCATAACAAAAATAATAACATTCTGAATCAGTAATATCATATTTTTGTAGTTGTATATTTTTTTAGACCTACAAGGTGTATTCCCACAAGGAAATTATGAGCTAAATAATAATAATGGCGTCGCTTCTTTTACAAATAATATTTCCCACTGGAAAATAATAGTAATGAGAAAAACGTTTAGTCTCTATAAATGAACGAAGAGAATCTTTTTCTTCTTTTTTTGCTGAAAAAAAGACAAAGCGAGGAAAAATTGAATTTCCTAGTCAAGTTCAGACAGAAACTTTGACCTCTTTTCTGCTTTTTCTTTAAAAATGAACTCTTTGTCTTCTCTTTTTGAGAAGATTTGAGCTGTCAGAAAAATATCCAAAAGAAAAAATATGCTAAAAAATAACTATCACAAAAAATAGATTTTTTTCGAGCCAGCCTCTTCAAAAGAAAATCGAACATGTACCTTCGTCTTCTTCCTTCCTTTCCATACAAAACAACTTAGGCCCCGCCTACTCCAGTTTTTCTTTTTTTCTGTCTTTTTTTTTTGAAAAATTGGTCCAGAAAAAGGGTATTAAAAGTGGATTGCACTTAGGACCTCCGGCATAGTTTTTTCATCTTCTTAGTTTTCCGAGTAGTAAGAATAAAAAATCTCATATTCCAAAGAAAAAGGGAAAAATGATATGAGAGTTCAAATATTCTCGAATAATTAATAACGATTTACGAGTAAGGAACAAAAACTGAGAAAAAAAGACTAGAAAAATAAAGAGGATAGATATGTAATCCATCTTCAAATCAACATAAAATGAAAATTTGTAGGATTTCGCGATTTGCAGCAATAAATTGTAGAAGAAGAAAAAACACTCTGAACCAATATATGTTTTCCAATATTGAAAAAAAGTGCATGTAAGGGACGAGAGAATGGTTTGTTTTCAGTAAACAACGTATTAATATATTTTCGGCAAAAGTGCGTAGACAAAAAATGGAAGAAAGGCACAAAAAAAAAACGAGAAAAAAGAGTTCGAGTGAACTGCACTTGGTGGTTCCTTCAATAAGAAGAGGAAAAAATGAGAGATGTTTCTAATAACCTGAAGAATTCTTTTTTTTTTGGAAAAAAGGAAAAAACAAATAGAGCAAAAAATACTGGAAAAACGAGAAGAAAAAAGTAAAGAAAAGGAAAAGAAGAACTATGCTGAAATGAAAGAAAAAAAAACGAAAAATATATATGGATGTGTTTTTCTGCTTCGCCTCTGAATAATTGGCGGGTTTTAGGAGATATATCGATTCCGTTTGTTTTTTTTGTCATTCTGTTGATGTCTGTAGATTCTGTGTGTGGAAAATGAAGCTAATCATTGAACATTTTCATGAGTAATGAGTTTGAATTAGGTTTAATTTGTCCAATCAAATATGTGTCGTAAGTGAACTTATAACAAATTCAACAAATATGAAACACAATATGAATATTTTTCGATAATCAAAAAGAATTTCGGGATTTATTGAAATCAAATTGGAATTTTCAAAAACATTTTTTGATTATTAGAAAGTCAGAAATTCAGAAATCTAAAAATAGAATACAATTATTCAGCACCAGGCAGTGTAAAAAAATTTCAGCAGTGTAATTTTTCGCACAACATTCAATTATCTCTGATGATGACAAAAGTCTCACGAATTTTCGAAAATTCAAAGCTGAATCAATAAAACTAATAAGAAAACATTTAGAATTCTAGTGGTGAAACATAATTCACGAAAACTCTATTATGATCAACTGGGCGTAAAAATCAAATTAACATACACATAAATCTACCCGGAAAATCCCGTGATTCGAACCTAAACCCGCGCAAAAAAACCAAGAAAAATAATCATGTTTTTGCCAAGAATATTGCATTTTTTATTTGCAACTTTTTTGATTGAAAAACAACTACAAGTTTTTAGTCTATCTAAATATGCACACATAAATAATCTGAAAACCATATATTTTCTTTTTCAGACAAACCCTGTTATTTCTTCAAATCGTAGAGCAATTAATCATAGACAGATATGAAATTACAGTTTTCCTATCCAAAAAACATAAAATGTATTCGATTTTGCAAAGCGAAAAATAGAGGAAAAGAAGAAAATCCGTGCAAAAAATGAGACGAAACAAACAACACGGAACATGAATCCTTTTTACAGACAGATTTCTAAAGATTTTTTCTCAAAAAAAAAGAATTGGCCAAAATAATAACAATAATATTATTTCTATGAAGAAGAAAAAATAGTTATACTAACTATATAATATACCTGAGAAATAGAAAAATATTTATTTATCAAATACAAATAAATAGGTAAAGTCATGTGAATTTTGCCTTTTTTTCAATCTGAAATCAGAATAAATGAAAAGCTCTATACATTTAAAAATTCAAAAATTGGTTGGAAAACTTATTATTCGAAAAAAGTTCATTTCTTTGTGAGTTAAATCTCAAAAATAAACCTTTATGTGTGGTCTAGCAGTTGTTTTCCCCAAAAACACTCGGAAAATGTTCAGAAATCAAATGTTTGAGAAACAAGTGCACACAAAAGTTATGCTGTTTTATGATGTTTAGCACTTTCGAAAATCAAAATACGTTCAGCTCTATTAATTTTCTCCAACTTTTTTTTCTCACATTCAGACCAAAAGATCTCTGCTTCTACCAACAAAACAAATTATACACCAGACATTTAATGACTATTCGAAAACCTGAAATTACATAAATTTAAAAATAAAAGTTGATATTTGAGTTTTCTGAAGTGACATAAAATCTTGGTTCGGCCGAGAAAAAAAAAACTTTTTTCCCTTTTTCTCATATTCATGTTTCTGCTTTTTTTCAAGGAAAAGAGTTATTCAAGCGAAATGAGTCATTGATTTTCATGACTTTTTTCAAAAAAAAAAGATATCTGAATGTGAATAAAATACCAACTATATTTCAACAAAAAACCCTAATTAGATTTATCAGAATCAATATTGGCTTCTTATTAAAAAAAGAGAGAAGCTAGAAAACTATGTAGGAAAAAAAAACTAAATTATGCATATTTTATTCTAATCTGTGGGTGTGTGTGAGAATCTTCCCTACTGAAAAATGTGTATATTTTGAAGTCGCCAACATATGGATTTGAAAAAAAAAGTGACAAAATTGTTCAGGAATCTGATTCATATAGTATGTAGTAAGTAGCAACCAAAAAACCGCGAATGAACAAAATAATATATAATTCAATATTTTCGTACTTTTACTTTCAGCCAGCCCGCCGGTCGCTCGACTTACTTATTTGCGAAAAAAAGTAGTATGTACTTGAAAAATATTGGCAAGTGTGTGTGGATTGGAACAAATAACAGAATCTGACTCAAAATTTTGAGAAAAGAATGAATGAACAAAAAAGAAAATGTTTGCATTTTTGATGGCATCGTCCTTAGAGTACACGATTTCTGGACTCGTTTTGTCGAGCACCGAAATTAAAATGTAAATGAAATTGAAATTCAACGTATAAAAATGTCATTAAAAAGATGGGTTTGGAATTTGAAAATTGTTCGGGGAGGTCTCAAGAGAGAATATGATTATTTCAACTCGTTCAAAAAAGTGGGCGGAGTCTTTTTAGAAGAAGGTGGAAACGATTACGGTATATGATCAATAAAATTAGTATGGGTTTCAATTTTGAAATAGGTTGAGAGGATTTGCAAATCATGAAGTTTTTTTTACTGAAAGTGTGAGCTCAAACTGTGCAAGACGTGTTATTTTGCCAGGAGGACCAACTCTCTTTTTCGGTTTACCCCTTTTCTCCTCATTATATAAAAATGACTTCCAAATTTGCATTCACTAGAACCACCGAAAAAATAATAATAATGAAAATGAAAATAATAATCAGAATCGGAATAAAAAACCAAACAAAGAAAACAAGTCGGTCGACAACGAATAACAGCATACACATACACACCGC